AAAGAAAGTTAATTGACAGTTCTTGCCAACTATTCAAGTAACATGATTTGAAACACCAAGAGTCACCCTAAATACCTGGCTGTGAAGTCCGCCGTGGCCAGCCTTCACTCCTCCATTCCAAATTGCTCAGCAGTGAAATAAAAAAACTGGTAAGTTTTCTTCCTGCCTGAGGAACGTGGGCCTAATTACTTATGTCCATAAAGGGTTTTAAGAGATTCAATAAAAGGTAACTGACATTTATAAGACCTCATCTCAGTATTTCATGCATGTATCTGAACCATTCATTTCTGCAAAGCAAAATAATTGAACCATCAGGCTGCAACAAAGTCTGCTGCTATGTCACTTCCATATCCTGTTTGATCACCCCACTTCTAGGCGCATCTATTGGCATACAACATGGCTGTGAAAACACTTCAGCTGGCTACCCAAGAAGAACAAATCTTCTGCCGAGTCACAGAGCCAAACCAAAGCCCCTCCTGCAAAAGCACCGAGCTTTGGTTTGCAATCCCTTCACCTTCCTTCTCAGAACTGGTACTTGTTTTTCATCCCGCCATATGCTGAAGGGCAGTTGAGATGACAGCATTTATTCAAGCCTTGAATCCTCTTCTGAAGCCAGCACATGCTGTTCTATAACTTCTTTTATAGAAAAGCTCCTACACACTGCTCCGATAGATAAGAGTGGTTTTACCAGTATGCAAATACACCTCAATTTTAACAATGTTTTAACCCTCCCAAACAGCACTAGGTAGCTTTGAATCCACAGATAAGGTTTCCTATGTAATCAAGGTGTGTATTTAAATCCATAAAGTTTCTGTAATCTCTCTATCCAATTAAAATTCTAAGTTTTTCTAATATAGCCAACATTGTTTGGGGGTGGGGGTCAGGAACCATTATTATCATTGAGCGAGTATTTTCACAAACCAGGATTATAAGGGGTTTATTCACAAAACGCTCCCAGGTATCCAAGTCCTTCATCTAAACAAGAGTCATCCTCTGCCTGTCCCACTAATAACCAGGGACCTTGTGCCCGGCTGACCCCCTGCTCCTGCTTCTTCATCAGAGAGACTGTCTGACAAAAGCCTTTCAATGTGTCACAGAGATTAGAATAAAGCATAGCCTACGAGGTTAAAATATGTCCTCCTAGGCTTTCATCAACAGCAGAGTAGGCCCTGCCTGAGGGACGAAAGCACTTCAAAGTACTAGATCAAATAAGCCTGGAAAGCGGAAAAGGGCAGCGCAGCATCTGCGGGAGGAAGCTGTACAGAGGGTTCCGTGGCACTGCAGAGAACACAGGTGAGAGCGTCTCAGGAAGAAGTTACAGCCAAGCTCCCAGTCAAGAGAAAAAACAACAGAGCTTCCGATCCCTGCCCATGCAGAAAGCCTTTGCCATTATCAGCAGGCAATATGTGACCACTTGCTCAGTGCAGACTTGCAACCCCACCTGAGCAGCTCGCTCTTGCATGCAGGAGCCAGAGTCTCTCCTACGTAAGCAGGGAAGGACGATGAGCACGGCATCGCCCACTCCTGCCCTGTGCTCGTTCCCGTCCCCGCGCTCCATCCCTACACCCTGACTTGCCTTGCGTTTGCAGCTCTTTGGAGCCCTTAAGCAGCCTCTCGCACCGCTCTGCAGCGCTACCAGAGCAAGGCTTCTCGACACTGCCACGGGACAGACTACAGCTGGGGACAACGTGCCTGCTCTCACCGGCGCAGAGTCCTACGCTGCCGGCGTCCCATGCATCCGGTCACTCAACTCCAGGGGCTCTCCAACCACCTCAGAGCCGTTCACACATGACAGAGTCTTCAAAGAGCAACAGCTGCTGGGAAGAACTGGGTTTTCAGCTACTGCTGTCCAACTGCGATTGTTTTGCAGTCCCAGCCCTTTTGATTCAGATTCCTCGGCGCACACTGTGGTAAAGAACACATACACTGCAGCAACCACTGGAAATCCGCAGCAGCTCCTCCTCCCAAACATCTGGGGATCTACACGCGCGCCCACACCAAGAGCTTCTCAAAGCACAGCTCATTATCCAGCGTTTTTCAGCTGGCTGCACAACAGTTAAATTCACTCCGCAGCAAACTCAAGTGTTGAAACGCTGGTGTCGACGCCTGACATCCGCAGACTTGTCAGAAACCGAGCAGTAGCTGTAAGACATTCTCCAGCGCCAAAGACAACTTGTCCCTTAATTACCTCCGTAATTAGAGCTTCCACAGCCCCCTGTCCCACTCCTCCTCGGGAAACCGATGGGGGAGCTTTGTTCTGGACAGCGAGGGGTCCCTAGAACATGTGCCAGGCAGACCTCCCACTTTCCTAATTAAGATCCTCACTCTGCTGTCACTTAACAGGACTCTGTCAGCTTTCCAAAGCAACAAGGACTTTGTTGCTTTAAGAGAGAAAGTGGAGCTCTGACACACTGACAGCTCAACTCTTTCAGACTAATTTTATACGAAGCTAACGCCAGGGATAGATTTGCTACTAATTAGTGTGAAAGGCAATCGGGAAAAGACATATTACCCAATTCATACAAAAGCCTCTTTGGATACAAAGCCTCTTTCTCTGAAAAAAAAGGTCATTTCTCTGCGTATGTAGCCTCCACAATATAATCATCATTATGCCTTAAAATAGACACATATCTATACACACACACACGATAACTGTGCACGCTTACCTGACAGGGCTCATCTTTCTCAGCCAGTTCCCTTCATTAACCTCACTGAGAACACAACAGCACTACCAGAGCGAAACCTCTTCCCACTTGCACTCTCGGTGCGAAACCTTGCGCTTGAGGCATGAGAATTATACAGAAAACTTTAACTTCGGAAATTCCCTGAAGAAAAACGACATCTCTGCTTGTTGATCCTTCACTATTTCTCCAGTTTTACCGAGCATCTGTGGATGAGAATTAGTGTGTGCTTTGCACACAGGACATCGTACACCGCCCTGGTTCCCATTTGCAGAGAACCGTCTGCTAAAATTACTGAAAAGCAGCACAGCAAGATGCGAAGCTGGAGACCCTATAACCAAGTGCTCTTGCTACAGGTAACAGGCTGGGGCACAAATAACCAAAGCTCCAGCAGAGGAATGGCAGACGTGTAAAGCTTTCCTTAGGTTTCCCACAGTTGTACAGCAGGTCCAGCAGCAAAGTCCAGAAAGCAGCTTCCCCTAGCACCCATCAGGCACTCAGTTCAGCACAGAATTTGAGCACGTATTTTAACTACGTCATTGAGGTTGACCAAAATCTCTTGGATTTAAGCATACTTCCTTAAAGTTAAGCAGGTGGTTAAGTGATGAAAGGGCCAACAACAAACCCAAGAGCATTCCATGGCTGATGAGGCTGGGAGCAGGCTCTGCTGATGTTGTGTGTCTGGACACCTGCAGTAGGTGCAGAAGGAAACCACCGATGCGCGGGTAACTGCCCCTCTGGCCAGCCTTCCTCCCCTTCTCCCTTTACAAGGAAAACTCACGCTAGGCAGAATTAGTCCAGCCGATTTGCTCTGTTTCCTGATGTCACCACCTGCGTGGTGCTACCAGAGAAAGCTGTTAGACTTCAGCACAGGGCAGATTAAACCCAGTAACAAAGTTCCTCCTCTCTCTGAAGTATAGTAAGACCCAGGGTGATAACTCTTCTGCAACTACATCCCTTCTCAGTTGTCTCCCTACCTCTGGCAGGCATTTCACCAAGAAAATGATCAACGCTCTTTAAGTTTTCCAAATCCCTTATGCTTTTCTTCATGTTTGTATTTGAAATGTCACATGCCTTCAAGTACACACTGATGAACAGAGGAGTTTCTTTGTGTTCCTCAGTCCATCACACTCCCTTTGCGGGTATATTTTTGAAATCAGAGTAGATACAAGCACAGGAGCATCCACAGCTCTTCACCACCTCTGCACTTAAACTAGCAGCATAACTTCAGGGAAACAAGTGGAAGAGCTTGCAAATGCCCCAGCCTGTGTTGTTATCAGAGTGAATCCCTGGTCTAGCAAATCACAGCCTCTCGGTTCCAAAATCCTTTCGCGCTTTCAACGGAAAGAGGTGTGCAGACTCTGTCAGATGGCCAGGTGTGTCCCACGCTGGCTGCCGTACGCCTCCGGGATTTATAGTGGCAAGGTATGTCTGTAGCTGGCCATTAGCAATCCAGCAGAAACAGCTTTTCCATGGTGAGTAATCCTGCAGCAATGAAGTAAAGCACACGGGCTGGCATTTGGGAACAATCCGCCCATGATCCCACACTTTAATTATCAGCCATCAGAGAACCTGGTTAGTTTACCATCACCGAGATTCTCCAGATCAAAACCGAATGCCTCTGTAAGAAACCCGGCGCAGTTCCAGCACAGGCTGTCAGCTGAACGATCTGACAAAGTCTTCCAGTCTGTTCTGTCAACTGGCTGATCACATATTATAATTTCCAACTCGGAAAATCTATTGTAAAATTTCTGTTTCTAAAATTTCACTTGTACAATTAGGAAAGAACTTGTGCAAGTTCAAATGGTGAGTAGGACAGAAACAACAAAGAAATTATTTTAACTCTTTGAGGAGTTCTGGTACTTTTTTTTCTCCTAATATCAACAATAGATAGAGAGAAAAACTCCCTTTTCCCCACACCTTTTTTCCCTGCAGCAGCTTTTCAGGGCAAAGCATCTGTCTGTTCTGAGCTCTCCATGCAACACTTTGCCCTGTGAGCACTTTGGCTAAGCATAGCTGTTACTGCAAAACAACGAGGAAACAAGTCAGCAACAAACATTTTTTAATTCATACACTGTCCTCGCGCACAGACACACAAAAACGCCTCACCCTTCCGCTTCCAGCCAACTCCTTCTTACCCCTTTCTCACACCTTTACTCCCAGTAACGGGTCTGTGCAAGAGGCTTTTTTTATTGGAGCATTAAACTGGCCTTTTTATGAATTAAAGTCTGTGGCTTGAAAAAGACAGGGAAGGCTGTGTTAGGGATTCCACTGCTATGTAAAATGACTGGGCAGCAAATACAGGTTTGTGGGTCTAACCCCTAACAAGAAGGAATAAAAGGCAGCGTACAACTAACGGTACCTACATAGCTCATGACCGAGTATTATTCTAATTTTTCTAAAAGATAAAAAATTCACTTGGGAAATTACGATGAAATTGTCATCTACCCATGATGCAGCTGTGCAGCGAGGGGCTGGAGGGCACTGCAGTGAAAGCTAGGGCTAACTGAAAAGGAAGCTTCTGTCCTCCCCTGAAAACAGCAGCAGTCCTTGAACGCAGGCTGACAGGAGAGGGATTCTTCTGCACAGCTCACAGGTAGAGTTCTGCTTTTCCACTTCCATTTTCTTTGGGATATTTTCATTTCACCTGCACTCCCAACAGACCTTTGTTTTGCTTCCCTTCTCTTCCCTGCCCTGGGGTTTTCCCAAGTCAGAACAAGTCCATCCCAGTGACTGGGGATCAGCAGAGTAAGCTGCCTTGCCCTGGGCAGGTTTTAGCTCAATGTGCCTACACCTATGCTGTTCCCAAATGGCTCTTTGCACCCTTTCTCACTTCACCTTGTTTGAAACGAAGGCTGTAACACACTGTTCATTTTTTCTTGTGGAACGATAACTTCTTTCCCTTTGTAGAGTACTCGGGGACATCCTCACTGTCAGGGTGGGTCACTCCTTGTCATTCACTTTATATCAATAATGAGCTTAAAACAGTTACAAACGCTACGTGGTACGTGTTCTGGTACAGCGTGGTGAGCTGGCAGTACCGCAGGTATGTCTTGGCTACTCTGCATAACACTACCTATGGAACCAGCCTCTGAGTAACGCAGGGCTCCAATGCAGATCCCTCATCCTGCCTCCCTGAGAACTCCCAGAGCTGTAATTTTGGTATTATTTAAACAGGTCTCTACAGGACAAGATCAAACACTCTAACTGCATTTCCTTCTTTCTGCAGGGAAAGGAGGATTTACCACTATTTCACAATGCCAAGTGAGCAAAGGCTTCTGCCCTGGAAATGGCTGTGAACCAGGTGTCACAGCCTTGCTGCCCTTCCTCCACCCCTGTGCCCCTTCTCCTGTCACCGCTCCCCCATTTTACATCCAGCTGTGCTCCAGAAGACGACATGCAGACTCACGACAAGAATGACTCTGCTAACGCATGACCGCTGTTTTGAAGAGGCCTTCAAATCCTTCTCCAGGACAAGGGTATTTCACCTCTTTTAATCTTTTTAGGTGGCAGTTCAGGATGTAGCGCTGAACTGTGCATTTTGGAGGCATGCTTTCAACTGAAAATAAAACACTGCTGGTTTTATTTTTTTTAAACAAAATATTATGATGTCCATAGAAACACTATGGACATTAAATAATATACTTCATGAGACCAAAAATGCTACAGCAGTCCTCCTCGATGCACGCACATTCACAAACTCCCCTCCTGCTCACACATACAGCCAGCTCCAGGCAGGAGGCCTGAACTGCTTTGAGAACAGGTAACGTTTCCATTACTGAGCGACGTGTTCTTGCCTGAGCACAGCCTAGGCTGGCAGGAGACAGAGGAAATTTTATCCCATTTCTATCTAAAGGGAAAAGTCTGAACTAGTTTCAGATCACCAGGAGACAGAAACTCCTGTGCTCGAACAACACCATAGGAGCAATCTAGACTACAGTCAAACACCAGCCGCCCAACAACCAGCGCTTTTGCCACGAACGTCCATGGCAAAACACGCATCGGCATTAGTTTAAACGAATGTTAAGAACAAACCCCCTTTTCACGTTCATCCTGTAACAAGTTTTTAAACACAACACTGTTTGAAGATTCTGCCTCTTTCTCTGACTTCCCAACGGAATCTGCAGTCAGGATCACGCACAGACAGCTCTCTGCTCCACCCGCGGAGTAATCTTCATTCACTCTGAGTCAGTTACAGCTTGGAAGGGTTAAATGGACAGAAAGACACCTGCTTGTAACCCACAGTATATATACAACTTCTGGTTTTCTAACTGGAGGCAACTACTTTAGTGGGTGGAGCTGCAAATAAAGCCTCTGATGGCACCTCTTGGGCCCAAGTATTCCACTTTCTGGACCATTTTAAACTCAATGGGTGGCACCTATTAATTCTTAATTAAGCCTGGAAATTCTTGTCTGGCAAGAAATGAAAAAACAAGCTTACTTTGATGTACAGACTAGAGGCAAGAGATGAAGTTCTGCAGTTTGTATGTGTACTTTGGGTGTACTTATGTATAAAAAAAAGATCTTCAGAGCCCATGCGCTGTAGTTACAACAGCACAAAACAAGGCCATGGATCCAAGCCTAGAGAAATCAACAGAGATTATTGCAGAGGAATTTGGCTCAGATCTTGCAATGTTAAAATACAAAGACTCTCGAACTGTCTCCACTGCAGACTCCCAACACATCACACAGACAATGCGTTCTACCTTTAAATGAGCAAACGAATAACGGAGGCAGCCTAGCCAGGACAGTATGGATCTCAGCACTGGGTGTCATTATTCCTCTCCAAATTAATCATCTTCTAACACTACAGAAAGTTCTGTATATCACCAAAAAGAATTTCCCTGCCACTTTACTGTAGGTTGTTCAGACCTCTTAGAAAATGCTGAGCTTCAAAGAGTTTCAAAGCAATCATCACATTATTCCATTAAAATAATAATAGTCCCTGAAAGCAC